CAAAACAAAACAAAACAAAACTGTGAAATAGTTTAAATACACAGAAATCTACAGAGATATGACAGCTACCCATGTACCCACTGTCCAGATTTAAAAAGTCATATTAATCATCTTTTGTCATATTTGCCTCAACCTTCCTCCCTTAGTTTTAAATAAATAAAATGCCTCTTAAAAGTGATAGGTATTCCTCCTCAAGATTTTCAGAGAAGACATATGCACCTTGCTAAGCTTTCTGTTACCTTTCCTACTGCTATCTGGGCTTGCTCTCAGTTGAGCTACTCAAAGCTGAATTGTTCTTAATAGTCTGAAAACTGATTTTATATTCTCTTTTAGATAGGTACCTGTTAGTCTGACCAGTGTACTGGAAGGACAACATCACAGCTCTCATGATATGTAGTATGGGCAGTTCCACTCTCTCTAGGCTATTTATAAACCTAAACTGTATACTCTCCTTTCACTCTGCATGTTGAGCACTACCACCCATCCGCTAGCACCTCCAGAAAGTCTGAAGTGATTAATCCCGGAATCCTGAGCAGCCCCTGGGCACGCTGGGTGTACCTGTGAAGCGTCTCCGCCACGCTGGAAAAGCAGCCCAGAGAGAGAAGGACCAAGAGGGCTTTTGACTTCTGATTGACTTGTGGAGAACAGAGGTGGTCAACCCACCGCTTTAGAACATCAGCGCACTCTTCAGAATTTAAACGGACCTGAGAAAGATACCCATGTTAAAAACAAGAACATCACGTACTCTATAAAGAAAAAAGTAATCCAATTGTTTCTAAGATACGTGTGCTTGGCTTTGCTTTTCCAGAATACTGCCCAGAAGCTGCTGCTTACCATGAAGAGTGGTGATAAAGACCTAGGGGCCTGGCAACAGGGAGCAGAGGCAGCTGCTTCCACTTAATTGCTACCAACGTGAGCTCCATTTCTCAATAAGAAGAAATGCAACTTATAAAGAATGAGGAGAGGATGAGAGTTGCAAGAAAATGTTTTGCAAAGCTGCTTTGCAGGCCAAAAAAATGCTTCCAAATCATGAGTTCGAAGTTCAAGGCAGAGCTTTTACCCCACATACTCAAGGCACCTACTGGAATCACCTACTTTTGCAAGCCATGCTGCCCGATTCCACTCGCCATATGTCTGCAGGTAGCGGCACGCATCTGCGGCTTTGTCTATCAGGCAGAGCAACTGAACGCCCTCTGGAAGACAACATAGCAGCCCCTCAAGTGACACTGCAGCTTCCAACAAGTCATTAAAAACCAAAATCATCCTTTGACTACATCTAGTTCTGTGCATTTTAGACCTACTGAAGACATTGTGGACTTAAATTTTAAAATAAAATACTAAAATAGAGTCCTACTGTTCCAGTCAAGTAACCAGGGTAGGAAGCACAAAAGAATCCAGGGAATAAACAGGTAAAGCATATCTTATTCAGAGGTTTTATCATTCTAGTTTGCCCAAGGTTGTCTGATTTATGCCTACTGTCTTGGCAATTATTAACAGTATCCCCTTTCACTCTTAAAAATGTTCTGGTTCAGATGATTAAATTATGGTCATCTTATATACAGCAGCAATTATTTTTCTATTTTTCTTCAGCATATATAAAAAAGGAAGAAATGTCCCTAATAATCAAATGTTTTTCTGGTAACGGGTCTGATTTTCCAGAGTATTGACAAATATACCCACAAAGTGTGCCTTACCTGCCAACTTGCCATTGGCAATCATATTAGTTGCCACCAGCTTAATAGTGCTCTGAGAGGGGCCTGATGAGGTGACAGTGGTGACCAAACAGGCTTTTAGTGAATCACAGTAATAATGCTGGTTATCTGCACTTGTTTCCAGTAGCAACTGCACAGCTCTGTCTGTCTAATAAGAGAAATAGTTTTTCTAATTATGAGAACATTTTCTGCCAGCATAACCTTTTAAAATTCATAATGTGGGACACTAAAGTTTATGCTTAAGGAAGATGTTCATTTTCAAAAAATGCTCCTGAATGTGTGGTTTGCAGATATAAAACCTGAATAAAAGTCCTGTACTACTTCATTGAGACAAACGTGAAACCAGAGTCTGGTACATACAGGTGCTCATGAAACCGCTTATTTTAGTTTTGCACCAGTCAATTCAGAGACACGAAAACAAAACAAAACAAATAGCTAGGCTTCATTTTACATTACAGAAGCCAAAATTGCAAGTTGCTTAATCATGTTTTTGCTTTCTTATAAGGTCTGTTGGTATTATTTTGAAAGAAAGTCTAAATTTACAGAGAAAGGGATATATTCAAGAGGGAAATACTATGATGCTCTATAATACTAATCAACTAGCAACTCCGCAAAGCATGAAAAGAATTATAAAAATTGACATACTTGACCCAAGAGTAGTAGCTGGTCTGTACATTTCCTTGTATGATCATAAGTTGACCGTTTTATTTCCTGCAGATTAACCCTTTCCAGTTGAAATTTCTATGATAGGAAAAAAATTTAAACCTGGATTTTGAATTATTTAAATTTTATTGTATTTAATACAGTCATTTTAATAAACATTATTTTGACTTCTGAGGTTACTAGGTAACCAACTTTACAGAAATCCAACATTTTAATAAAAACTGAAAAAAAGTATTGGTAAAGGGCCACAAAAAATGATACCACTGTATAATGTTGAATATACTAATTATCCTGATTTGAGCGTCACCTATTGCACACAGGTATTGACAGTCAATGCTATCCCCACACAGATATGTACAATCAACTGTTTCAATAAAAAAATAAAATATGGGGGCTGGCCCCGTGGTGCACTGCTACAGTGCGCCGCTTGGGAGTGCGGTGGCGCTCCCGCCGAGGGTTCGGATCCCACATACAGACCGGTTCCCGCTCACTGGCTGAGCGAGGTGTGGGGGAAACACCGAGGGATGCGATCCCATTGCCGGTCCCGGTCTGATACGGGCGCAACACTGAGGGTTGCGATCCGTTGCCGGACACGGAAAAAAGAGACAAAAAGGAAAAAAATAAATAAATAAAATAAAATATTTGTTATTTAAAAAAATTAATGAGAGAATTCAACTGAACCTTCTAAGTTAAAAAATTTAAGAAACTAAAAAATTAAGGCTATTAATAATAACATTTTAATGTCTATTAAAAAACTCAGTGTTTATGAGCTTTTCAAGTCCTTTTTTACACAAATGTGCCAAAGGACTTATTTTTATTACATGGTCTTCAATTTAGTTTGAAAGTTTCCCAAGTTTAAGATATTTAAAAGATATAAATAATAAAGAAGACAGCTTTGAAGGTTTTCATACATACAGCATAATACCTGAAAATAGCCATTTTCACAGAGTATATCATAACATATATCCAGCGGGTTGTTCAGTATGTCCCGAGGAGTAGCTTCTTTAGTAGTCGCTGTGCTTCCCAACTTTTCC